GACAGGAGAATGCAGTTGGATTACAAGATCTCATATAAATTTTAGCAATTTTCCCGCCACGAGAGAGAAATTATTGCATAGTGTGATTAGATTTAACTGGGACGGATAAAAAAAAAGAATTTAACGGCGTGGGTGTACCTGACGGCGGGCTCGAGGAAGCGTTTGTTGGGGAAGCGCTGGCGGAGGACGTGAAGGTCACCGCCGGGGCAAAAGGGCGTGAGGAAGCAGAGGCACTTGGGCGCGTTGATTGAAGCGTAGAGCGTGGGCAAGAAGGGGTGGTCGAGCATTTGGAGAATTTCCCTCTCGGTGGTGGCTCTGCCTTCCTTGTTCCTTCGGGCGAGGTCCTCCTTCTCCATGACCTTGGCGGCGAAGAGGGCGGCGGAGGGCGCTTCCTCGTCCCTGGGGAGGGCGAGGTAGACGGCGCTCATGTCGCCGGAGCCGAGGCGGCGCGTGAAGCGGAGGTGGGAGAGGGAGAGGGGGCGGATCCGGTTGGCGAAGGCTCTGCAGGGGTCGGAGGAGGGCGCGTGGGGGTTGGCGGAGGGGAGGAAGTGGGAGGAGGTGGAGGGGGTGACGGTGGTGGCCGAGGAGCTGAAGCTTGTGCTGCGCTTGATGTCGGCGGTGGAGGCGAAGCTGAGGCTGTGGAGGTCGTCGGTTAGATCCTCGGTGTCCATGGTTGTTAGTTATTGAGAGAGTGAGTCACTGACTGCGAGTGAATGAATCTGTGTTTTTTAAACACACGTCAACGTGCCTTACTTTCTCTCTCTTTTATGCCTATGGACTCTCCCCTTCTCTTCTGTTGCCCTTCCTTCAACCAATCTTCTTATATTCCTTCTTTTCTATCTTTTCATATATATACATATTCTATTTTATCCTTAAATATAAATTAATCATAATAAAATAAAATCTAACATAAGATCATATTTGTCTTTAAAAACTACACACAAAAATAATATTACTAGTAAATATGTCAAATAAAGCATATCTATTACTCTATTGCACATTATTTTCTTAATATTATTCTTATTAGTAAAATATTATTTTTAATTAATTTATATTTGATAACATATAGTTGTCTCAATATGTTTTTTTTTTTTTACTATTAGTGAGTCTCAAGATTAAAACTGTTCTTTTTGAATTACAGCCATTAAAAAAAATTTTAAATTTGAAATATTAAAATAATAAATTTTTAATGTTTTATAAAGTAAAAACACAAATTTTTAATTTTGGAAATAAAATATATATTCTGAATTTAAAAGGCTAAAATATAATTAAACCAAATCTATAAACATGCCATATAAAGGAAACAACTTATTCTTTTTCATAGATTTCTTAAATATTTCTTCTCTCCAATAATTCTTTCCTATATATAATTCTGCCATATATAAAGTAAATTGCTATTAAAAATAATTAAAGACAAACAAATATATATTATAAAAAGGAAAAATTAGATAAAAATATTTTAATAATAATTAAAAATCATTATTAGATATTTGCAAAAATTAATCATTATACATTATAAAAATTACACCAATCCCTTCAAATCTTCAATAACTCCCTCCTAAGTATTTTTGTATATAAATATTATTCTAAAATAAATTACTATTAAAAATAATTAAAAACAAAAAATATACAAAAGCACACACACATACATATATACATATATATATATATATCAAAATAAAAGGAAAATTGGATAAAAATATGTTAATATTTACTAATAATTATTTGATTTTGACAAAATTGAAAAAAATTTATTGCATTTGATTAATATTGACAAAATTAAAATAGTATTAATTAACGTTAATAAAAGAGTTAAAGTGTTTTCATTTATGAATTTAGATAATGTATATTATAAAAAAATATAATAAAATTATTTAATTTATCCTAAATTATTATTATAATAAATTACATTCTCATTAACAGTTTACTAGTTATTTTTATTTTTTTACAGTAATTATTTTCCTTTTTATATCATTAAATTAATTTCAACGAAAAAATGGATTAAAATAAATATATACTTTAAAATTTTAATCATATTTAAAAAATATTTAATTAATTATAAGTTTTGCCCTAAATTATAAATATTACTTTTCATATAATTTCAAATTTTAATATTTTAATTATCATTAAATTATAATAAATTATATTCTCGTTTTTTTTATTCTCATTAATCATTGAGTAATCACAATACTTAGATTTTATGTAATATAATTACACCAAAATAAACATTACCTCTTATTTATTATGAGGAGTCCTTTTACATTTTTATTTATAGTTATTCGATCACTTATTCCATTTAAGAAACTATCATATACACGAAAAACAATACACATCACATTTTTTCCTTATATTACATTCATTTGATTAACATTGATAAAATTAAAATGGTATTATTTAATGTTAATAAAGGAAAAAATTGAAAAAATATATATATTTTATGTAAAAAGAATATTATTTTTTAATTTTTTTTACTAAATAAAAAAATTAAAATTAGTTTTGCATGTTGTTGAAGAAAACTAAATTATCATTAACTCCTTTAGATACTAGCATTTCATTCAAATTTTAATGAAAATTATTTTTTTAAGGTCAATCTTTAAAATACAATATGGTATATCTTCCAAAACCAATTTTTTTTCATGGTTAACTATACGTAACAATCTCAAGAATTTCATTAATGAGTAAATTAAAAATTTTAGTTATTGATAATAAAAATAAAAATTCAAATATGTGTTTTAATATTATTTACAAAGAAATTTTCAACAATTTATAACAATAAATTAGTGTATATTTATTTTTTATATAATTTTTGGAGGTATCTTTAATATTATTATATTCTATATATTTATTATTGCTGTTAATTTTTAATTATATAATTATTTAAATATCAAATTATCTAATTTACCAAAATAAACTCTGCATCACACGTTGAATTTCTCATTTACATCATTTTTGTTTTAGGGAAATTACGGCCAAAGACAATAGGACATAAATGCATACTCATTTTAGCTTGTTTTGAATAGCCGTATAACGAGTTTTGAATCCATTTATTTTTCTCGTTCAAAGTAAAGTAATTCTTTATGAATTAATCACTTATATACCGTCAGTGTAAAAAAATTTTATACGAATAATTAATCATATTTTTTAATAGTCATGTCAGTTACTTATTTAATGAAATAATAATAAAATAAATAATTTTAAAAGATATCATTAGTTGTCACTTGTCAGTGTAAAGTCTTTCTTTATTACTTTCAAACTTTGACACATTTTTCATTATTTTTAAATTTTCATTACGAATCCCACCAAACACATTATTATTTGAACAGAATAAATTTTAAAACAATAATTTATAGACTTAAACATCTTTTTTATCTTCATATATTTATAAAAGTCCTATTTTTTTTTAATCTCTCATCTTTAAATCGTTTGATCTATGATTTTCTTTGAAATGAGTCAAAAATATATCTATCATTTATTAATCTAATTTAACAAAGACACAATTACGTTATCATATACTATAAGTTCATGTGAACCTTTATTTTTAAAGAACTAGTAAATGTTAAATATTGGATTAATACAGCGATGTCAACATAATTTGGACACATTTTTTAAAAAGAGGACCAAAAGTTCACGTTAAAAAAGAACTAAAAATAAACAATTTTTTTAGATAAAATAAAATATATTAAAATGATATACAATGAGTATTACAACCCATAAACAATTTCAAGAAAAAAAATAGAATTCAACTTTTTTAATAATTTATAAGATATAATCAAGAAAATCAAACTAAAACTAATCCAAAACAAACAAGTCAATCAAAATTACTAAGAATAAAAATTTATAAAAATGAAAAAGATACTTAATTCTAACTTATAACTTGAAAAAGATAGTGCAAAAAAATAAAGATACCTACAAGTTAAAATGTTCAATCAAGCTTATTTATTTAATTAAATAAAAATTTCAAGCTTAAGATTAAACTCAATAATTTAAATAATTTTAGCTCAAATTTACGAGTTCAATATTAATGGTGTGTGATAATTGATTCAAATATCATTAAAAAAAGAGTAAAAATACCATATATCTCATTATTTTTGTGAAAGTATTTTGTATAATATTACGTTTCAATTTCACATCCAATGCAGATTAGTATCTAATATTAAAATATTCATCGAATACTAAATTGATAAACAAAAATAATCAAAAAAATACTAAAGAAATAATCAGTTTATAAATAAATTAAACAAATCATATTAAAAAAACAATTTCTTTATTAACAAAGTCCTATAAACATTATTAATTATTGATAAAGATGATAAATATTTTATATAAAAATATTATTTAGTTTGAATCTTGGGTTTCATGGACATAGAAGGACGAGAGAGAGTCCTACTTCTGACTTGGTAGAGAAAGAAATAATGTACGGAATAAATGGTGAGACAGTAACGACTGGGCCTCAAACTTTGAATATTATCTTTGTTTTCTGCACAAATCTCTGATACTAATGTGGGACTGTGAGAATACAGTTAATAACAAAATTGAAAACGATGGTGTTCCTGTTCCTCATTTCACGTATCACTGTAATGTTAGGTCAAAAATTAAAACGTTTTTTAATTTCACATCAGTGTTTCAAAATTAAAAATTAAACTTATAATATATTTTTTATAATACATAAAAATGTAAAAAAAATTGTGTAACCCATTTAAAAATTAAAAGAAAAAAGCTGAATTGGTTTGGTCTGAAACCAAAAAAAGAAAAAGTTGAGGACACTGTCCCTTCCCTCGAAGGAATAACCAAAATGAAGGTAATGAATTTACGATTTTGCCACTCTTACCAACTCTTGTCCCCAAACTTTCCCTTCCTTCTTCCTCCTTCGTCGCAGACTCCAAACTTAACTCTCAGAAAGAGAAACCCTTTTGCCATTTCCTTCGAAACCCGTTTCTGTGCTCCAATTCGCGCCTCCATGGCCTCAGCCTCCGTTACGGACGCCACTACGAAGCCGTTTTCCGTTCTCTTCGTGTGCCTCGGCAACATCTGCAGAAGCCCCGCCGCCGAAGGAGTCTTCACTGACTTGGTCGCCAAAAGGGGCCTCAATTCAAGCTTCAGAATCGACTCTGCTGGCACCATCAATTACCACGAGGTGGGGTTATCTAATCTATACACAAACACCCTCGTGTCGTTTCATCCGAAAGGTTCTTTTTTTAGAGGAAAATTGTGATGGGTTTTTGAGTTTAGGAGGAATGTGTATAGATTTTGTAGTTTCTAGTAACCAAAAGAAAAAAAAAAAAAACTTGTGGACTTTGTGATCACTTGAAATTATAGGATATTGTGTTGGGGATTTCACATAGACAAGTAAGATGGCTAAAATAGTATATATAAGTGAAGAAAATCCTTATCTTGTAAGGTGTAAGGTTGAATTAGTCAGAAACTTACATTTTAGACTGGAGAATTACTTCCTGCACCTGTCATGTGTTCTGAAATGGGTGTTCCGGAACATATATGATGAGTACAACATAAAAAAAGATGGGTGCGGGAAGCAAAACCCTTAAACGAGATATGGCAATTACAATTTGTGCATGAATCACAATACGAATGGCGTGTATATTGTTTAAGACAAGAACTAGGATGTATTTTCTTACATGGTTTGTGTTGTTGTTTTTATCAAAGTTGGAGCTTTTACTCAATAGTCTGTTTAATAAAAGCTTGAATTAGAAATCAATATAGGTTATCAAGACAAAACTTCAATTCTGATTGGAGAACAAAGTTGAGAGAAACTAAAGAACTGCATTAAGTTTTGTCCTATGGGATTTTTATATTGTTTAAAAAAGTTGTAATTTTTATTTTTGGGATGTTGGTGACTTTTGAAGGGGAATCAAGCGGACCCGAGAATGAGGGCAGCTTCAAAGAGGCGTGGGATTCAGATGACGTCTATTTCGAGGCCAATCAGGCCCTCTGATTTTGTTGACTTTGATCTCATTCTTGCCATGGACAAGCAGAACAGAGGTAGATTCTGAGATGATGAAATGTTTTTGTGTTATGTGATGTTTTGTTTTGAATCTGGATGAGATGTTTGTGTGTTTGATTTGCTGGACTTTTTTGTTATTTGCTTTAGAGGACATATTGGAGGCCTTCAATGGATGGAAAGATAAACATTCTTTACCGGGTGATGCACATAAAAAGGTTGGTGCAAGATTTTGCTCCTCTCAGGGGCTTATTTGTTTTGTCTACTTTTTGGTGTAACTGTGTTCGGTGTTGATGATGATGATGCAGGTTAAGTTGATGTGCTCGTATTGTAAAAAGCATGAGGAAAGTGAAGTCCCGGATCCTTATTATGGTGGTCCGCAAGGGTTTGAGAAGGTATGCTTCATGTTAGGTTATGGGTTGGCAGTTGGCACTTGGTTCATTTTGTAGGTTGAAGTGGAATGTTACTTCCTAGTGCTACTATAGTTTTGAACGATGATACTATTTGGTTCAATTAAATTGAATTATCAAGCATTATTTATATGAACATGTCTAGGTGGAATTGAATTACCATCCCAAAACGGTTTTATACTATATGTCCAATACACCCCCTTGTGCAATAGGCCATTAAGCATGAAGTGTGGAGAATGTCTAGATTCACTTACTTTGCATTGGAAGTCACATTTTTCGTTAGAGATTGGGTGGCAAAGAATGAACTTGACTACTTGGTCATAAAGATTGTAATAACATGTCATGAACCAACTATTCCAAAAGCTCAAGTTGTTAGGTGAAGACACACACGTGGGTATACATTACATCTCTAATGGAAAATTATGTCATTTAAGCAATACAAGATCTTCTGACTGAAATCAAATCTTCTAGGTTGGGCCTTTGAATTACACTTTAGCTTATGTCATGATTTACCCTGTTGTAACTCCAGCTTCCTCTCAAATAAGACCTTTAAAGAATTTCTGCTTCTGGGATCTTAAATTGAAACAATTTTGTATTTGCATCTTTTGGCACCAACAACCAAGATATCTCAGTGAGTTCAAAAATTATACTCATTCAAGAAATTAACATATTAGTAATTTGGCCAGAAATCAGAATTCAATGAGACTGGTCTCAATTTGTTAATGATGCAGGAAATCCAGCTATTATTGTGTTGTAAAAAAGAATTTTTTACTCTGGCTTGATGCCTTGTTTATCATCATTATGTTGGCACTGGCAGGTGTTGGATTTGCTTGAAGATGCTTGCGGATCATTGCTGGAAACCATTTTGGCAGAAAACAAACACGTACAAGAATCCTAATTTGAAGATAGAATTCCAATCCTGGGGTGAAATTGTAAAATCATTGGTTTTTATAGATGTCAAAGTTCCTTCTTGTTTCTGTGGTTCACTATCCTGGATCCACGATTTCTATATATTGGAAACTTGTTGCCAAACTTATTATCTAGCAGTTGAATCATAAGTTTGATTCTTTTTTTTTTTTGTGCTCTTCTGTTTATCACCTTCAATACTGAGATTGGGCATATTATAGGATAGGTAAGCAATAACCGCCATAAAATTTGAAAAATGTATATAAAAACGTCGCCAAATATTATGCCAACAAAACGCATCTCATCTCTCTTTTTCGTTAAATTAGTTTCGTCTTTATCTATTTATTTTTCAGTTGAGCCAAATTCTGTAGGAAATTTTAATGGTGGAGGTTATTGTATGTTGGTTGAAACCAATATATATTTTGTTTGTAGCATCCGAATGACAAGATACAAGGAATACGATCGTTTGAAAAATTTATAAGTGTAACTCCTTAATCCAACCCACCAATTCATTTTGGTCCTAATCCTCCCTATTTAGGTAAAAAATATAATAAAATAAATTTAGTGTAACATTTTGAGTTTCTATTTCCTTTTCTTGTAAAAGTAAAATGTTTAGGACTCGAAATTTATGTTTGGAGATGATTAACGAAGGTAGATATATTTCCCGAGTAATTTTTTGCTATCATTAGTATTGAAGAAAAAATAGTTAGATAAAGTAATGCAGTCAAAAATCATTAGGTGAATATGTGAAAAAGATAATAAGTAGTAGGAATATAAAATTGTTCGTTTTGGTCATGTTTTTAGTTATATATTTTTTTGTTTGATTTTTACTTATATTTATATAATTATTTTGGTAGGTCAGTTTGTCAGCCGGGCGAGTTGCAATTTTCAGGCTATATGCACTGAACGGGTCAGATCACCCTGATCCAGTTTTGGCAGATTAAAATGGACTACACTAGTTTGGTCATCTTATAGGCTAGAATAACATGCTTGGTCGTCTAATAATGGACTAAAATTGACTAGATTATTCATTTTTGGAAGACTAAAATTCTTTATTTTACACAAATAACATTTTCGGAAGTGCAACTCCACAAAACTTAATATATATTATTATTAATTGGAAAACACTAGCGTTTAGTATTATGAAAGTTGAAACGGTTATCATCAAATTGCACAAACGGGTTATTTTTTTGTCAAAAACTATTTATATATTTTCAAATTAAAAAGTATTTATTTAAAAAGAGCATTGGTCCACGTTTAAATTCGTGTTTTCATGTTATTTCTTTTTGTAATGAATAGCACTGCTGATATTAATTTCAGAAATGATCTCATCGGCTCGTGTTGGTTGGGAGCTCACAAGTCACAACGAGCACTTGCTATGGATCATTTTGTTTAGCGAAATTTCAGAAATTTTCTTCAAAAGTTACACCATTTTGGTCCAATTTCCAGTTTGCTTTTTGGATTATGCTGGAGATGATGGTTTTGATTAGCCGATCCTCTTCTGCCCTCCATCTCCAGCAAGAAAAACACATATAGGAGATGAGAGTAAACGAGAGAGAAGCTTAAGGAATAAAAATAGAAAGAGATAAAGAGGTAGGAGAGGATCCAAATCCAATTGATTACATCATTTATGTTCTTATTTAACCTCTTCATTTGCTGCAATTGTGTTCCGTACAATGTTGGGTTCATTTAACCAGGTTTAGCGCCCTTCCTTGTACAAGATACAATTGCTTCTGTAATATCAAACTAGTGCAACTCTAGTGACGGTATATTTTAGGAAATGGCACCTTATTTGAAAGAACAAAAAAATGTTATGCAGCTCTAGTCACAGTATTTCACACCCTGTATTTTCATTCCACACAAAAAATGAGATTCGGTAATACGGAAGACAAATCATTAATAATGTAGTTTTGAGAAAATATATTAAGAATTGAGAAAATATAAAGCCTAACAAATATACAAGTTTCTTGGGCTAGCGCTGCCACTTTCTTGATACATCTACGGGTTTCTCTAATTCCATTTTCCTTCTCTTAAAATGGTCACTCCAACGGCTCAGGCTAACTTCATGAAACATCCATCTGATCATTGTCATTGTCTCCTTCATAGTATTCATCATCGCGTTGGATGTGTTTGTCTTGAGTGTGTTCTGAAAAGACAAATATCAAATTCAATAAACTAAGCTCTAGCACCAAGTTAGAGAGAATAAGGAAAAAGGGATTTATTTCCACTTAATTGCACTTTTAGTTTTAAAGTCTATGCAATTTTCATTCTACTAATTTTAATTACTCAAATTTAGTCTTTCAATTAAGTTCATTACCCTAAACTTTTATCCACTAATTAATATATATATATATATATATATATGTGTGTGTGTGTGTGTGTGTGTGTGAATGTATGTATATGTATATGTAAAAAATAAAATAAAAAAGGACTTCTGTTAATTTATATAAATCAATTGGAGAAATATGAATACTAAATGTGAGCAATTAAAATTAGAGATTTCAAAATCACAGACTAAAATATAGAGATCAAATCCGTACGATCAATGCGTTCATCAGGGTTCTGCTCATCTTCATCGAACTCTGGAATGTAGAAGTCAGGAGGGACCTGTGAACCACAAAACATTAGTCACAGCTTTTGGAATATATTACCAGTTGACGAATTGTTAGAAGTGGTATGATCATGACATCACCAAAGGGGTTTGAAACCAAGTCCAAAACAATTCAACAAAAATGGAGAGCAGCTAGAGACATCAAGGATTAATCTCGATTGTGACATTCCAACCCAATTTTACTAACATTAATAACCTAAATAATAGATTTAAATAAAGAGAGCCCAAACGCCCAATTTCCATGGCTGTTGTCCTTCGGCTTAAGCACTTATAGCCTGAAATTCCACCCAACTTTTGAACCCTTCTCGCTCCCTAATCTTCTAACGACTCTCATCTTAATTTAAAAGTACTAAAAGGAATATTTTTCACCTCAATTGCTTAAAAATCCACCTTCCAATGCAAATAATTGATTAGTGACCATATTGGTAAAAGGCTTACAAATAAAAGTTGAAGAGCTTGTAACATAGTGCCTCTAAAGTCGAAACAAAACATTCACAAGAACAATTTTATGATAAAATAGTTGAGCCTGACTACTAGACGTGGTGCTTCTATTTCAAGAATGAACTCACCTCCTGCATTTGTACACTTGGAGCATGTTGGATGCAACGAAGATTTTCCAAGACTTGCATTTTAATGGTGCTAAGATAGGATTTACTATTTAAATTTTCCTGATCAATTTAAAGGGGAAAAAAATGAGTACAACCAATGGTACATATTGAGTAAAGACACTACACACTGCATCAACATTATAACAATATGTATTTAATCATATCCAATGAAATTGGAAATATTTAATGACAAAATATTTCCAAATCACCAATTAAATTAAATTCAATAGCAGAGAGAATACATACTATCTGCCCATTTGGAATCTTCAAAGAAAACTCTGGTGCAAAATATTTAATATAATCATTTTCCGGAATCTCTGCAAGACAGAAAAAGGTAAGCAATGTTTACACTTTGCAAACAATAAGAAAAAGAATTTAAATCTGGAATGCTGAATCAATTCATTGGACAAAACATTTATGAAATTATTTAAGAGCTTGCAGTGTTAAGGCAGACTACATTTTCTATAGGGACATAAACCTCAATTCCTCAAAGCACAAGCTTCAAACTAGATAGAAAGCATTTGGGGGAAAATTATTGTCTGGGCAAATATCGCAAGAAAGGATTATAATAATTACTACATTAATGTATTGTAACATCTCCTAATCCGATGCTCCCCGAGGAAAATTTTGGTATTTACAGCTTTTTCCATCATTCCCGAGTGTGGAGTGCAACTTAAGAAATCCTTGCAAGACCACGTGCGAATTATGAGAAAGGGGAAGAATAAGGTTCAGTTGTAAAACGTAACAACCTTGCCAATGTGGCAAAGAGGGAGGAAAGGAAGGGGAAACCATTTGAAGTAATAGAGTTAAAAAGGGAGGGAAATGTAGGGGAGAGGACATTCAATCATTGAGCGAGTTTTGGGGACTTTGGACAGGGAGGTTTACAGTGCTTCAAAGTTCAACACTATTCTTTGTTTTTCTTGTTTTGGGTATGAACTCTGACCTATTTAGTTGGCGTTTATCCCTATTTGTATAATAAAAAAACCTAGTTCAAATCACTATCACTTCACAATTGACATGACATGACAGTGTTTCTGTATTACTTAGAAACTTGCCTGATAAAATATTAAATCAAATTAACAAAAGAAAATTAAATGTAGGTAAAACGTGTCGCAATTCAAGACTTGAAAGGAGGGGCATGTTTTGTTTTATCATTGAGTTTCGTTGAATGGAAAAAACACACATTCCAAAGCATCAAATCAAGAAGTAACATTTTGTCTTTTCCATTAAACGTGGTTTTGTCAGTTTCCAACGGAAAACCAAACACACTTAATATACCATTTGGAAGCTCTGTATCTAGGAGAACTCCAGTTTCAACAGTCCAACATCGAGCAACATTTTCTTTTGTGTATCCCCCACCACCAGTGACCTGTGGCAGAAGTCCATTCATGTAAATCACACCCATAGCACAATTGAATGGAAGGCAAACATAACTGGTATAAACTCACCAGCAATGGCAAATTGAATCTCTTTACGAAGCTAACACATTCAGCATGACCTATGAAAGAAACATCAAAGAATAAATTTTCTAATCAAACTAAACTATCCACTAATTAAATGGAGACAAACATTTGAGAAGAACTGAGACAGACACTAATAGCATAAACAACAAGAACAACAGAGCCTTATCCCTATCATAGAATAATGATATTTTTGTCAGAATAGAAAATTTACTAGGAGAAAAGCACCATCAATAGAGAGATTGAAGCAACCCAAGCGATCTCCAGCAAGCGAATCTGCTCCACACTGGAGAACTATCACACCAGGTTGATATGTTTCAACTACTTTGGAAATAATCTATATCATAATAATTTCGAAATGTTTAGACAAAATAGCATCAAGCAGAAATAATGCAATGAATATTAAAATGAGGAGCTTTTGAATTAAGCTCGAAGTTTGGCAAAAAAGGAAAAGAAAATAATTGAACTTACAGTCTTGAAAAGTCGACTGAAGC